ATCATCAATTATATCATCATCTCTTATTGACCATTTCTTTCACAATAGGTTGGGATGAAAAGAGAGGAAGATGATGAAAAAAAGTAACCTCAATGAAAGTTACCCTGAGTTCACATGGTGATTAGTGAATTCTGAGTAAATTATCATGTTAGTGTTCAGGGGGAATCAATGATCATCAGATGATTTAGTGATTATCGAGAGAGAAAATTTTTTTCTCTTCATCTCTTTCTTCAGCTATTTTATTGCCAAAGTGTCAAATCTCAGAATTGAAAGTCTTGAGGTATTGGATCAAAAAGTGGTAACTTCATCATTTATGCTCGATAAACATGATAATGATCATCAACTGAATGGAACACTGAATCTCATGAACACTTCACTCTTTTCTATCGTGGTCATCATTGGTATTTCTTTATATATTCTTAAAGATGAATATCTACATTTTGATTTATTCCTGAAGAATTCCAGATGAATTCATCATCGATAGTTCAATAGAAAATCAAGATTCATTCATAGATCTTAAATTCAATTGATTGATCATCGTCATATAGCATTCAGATCATTGTAAAAGTTATGAATATCATTTTGACATGATGATCATGAGAGATTATTTATCAACAGGTAAGAAATTCATCTTAGAAATTAGTTAATATGGAACTTTCCCTGAGCAGTTTTTTCTTCTTAAAGGTCAAAAAGTTCATTCGAGAATATTTTTTTGTTTATTTATCGTAATTTTCATGAATCTTGCGCTTAAAGGTGTTGAACTATTGATAGATTTGGACACAAGAAACATTTTAATGAAAACCATGATGATTTTCATGGAAATAGTTTTGTAATATTATAGCTGATAGTTGATCATAACTGAATATTTTAAACTAATGATGATTATACTCACATAATGATGATATGAGTTTACTATTTATCCAACTGTTGACTTTATCATTATCATGATAAACGATGAAAAATGAATAATGATTGTGAGCATTTTATTATAAGTTCGTAAATGACAATTTTGATAACAAAAGCATTTCCGTTTATATTGAATCGGTTAAAAAAAAGTTCAGTTTTCAAACAGAAAAACTCACAAGTTTTATCTTTACTCATGATGATGATGATGATTATCATGATAGAATATGAATAAATTGCATGATGTAGAGAAGAAATTTTTTCTCAATGAATTTCGTTGAACTGAAATATCATTGGGTTTTTTTTCTATTTTCCAACTGAAAATGATGTTTGGGTGAAAATTCAGATGATAAGGATGATAATCATGAGTCTGCAAGTTGGAAGGTTAAACTTGAAGGTAGAAATCAGAATAATAGTTTTTTTACTCCTCTTTATACTCTTCAGGATTATCATGAGAAATTCCTATCAACAGAAAAGTTCCTTGGCTTACCTCACTCATTGCTCATCTTTTACCCATTTTCTCAGTCATTATCATGATAACATTTATCATTCTGATATTTACGAACCATATTATTATCACCAGAAATGGGAGAATCGAAATGATATTCAGCTTGGAATTTCTCTCTCTCTCTCTCTTGCTGCTTCTTTAAGCTATGGCATCAGAATAATTAACTTCAGTTTTCATCATGAAAAGATGAATAATCATTGAGTAATTTAGGTATTAACTTTTATCAGAATTTCCTCAGTTTTCAAGTAAATTTTTTTGCTCTTCTCATGTTATTAGATACTAATGATGATTTACCATGTTGATGAACATGATGACTGGTTAACTTGAATTTTGATCCACCTGAGATTCATGATTAGTTTTTGAAAAGTTGTTATCACTTGAAACAAAAAGGTTTATCATCATATCTTTTTGCAACATTGAACTTGGACTCTTGGTTTTGTTTGCTGAATCAGAACTTATCATCATCATCATCAGTAGCATCATGGTCCAGGGAGTGAAAGAGTAAGTAAAACTAAAAGTTGCATGAGTAAAATTTTAGCTGCTACGTTTTCCCTGTTAAAGTCCCTAAAGGAACGTGAAATTTTTACTCAAAAACTGTGGAAACAAAAGTTCTGGTCATCATTATCATCACCATGATCATCATGGGAAAGAGGTGGCGTTGGTAAAATTACTTTTCCAAAGTCAGCGATTTTTCAACAATCATTTGTTACAATAACAACAAACTTTTCTTCAAAAGAGTTTCCTACTTCCTCCATCATCATCATCATCATCTTTATCATGTAATTCACCAATAGCCTGAGCTACTATCCATTCATCTTTCTCACCAGTGAGATTTCTCTCTCTCTCTCTCTCTCTCTCTCTCTCTCTCTCTCTCAGTCTCACCATTTCCCACCTTATGACCACGACACTTACTGTGGCTTCAATTTTTTTTGTGGCTAAAATGAGAGCAAAAACTATTCCCAATGAAGCCACTATCATTTTTTATTAGTGGTCATTTGTCATGAGACAGAAACAAAAAAATGTAGTGACCAATACAAACAAATAGTTTTGTCAAAAAGTGGAAAACAAAAACAAAATATTAGGATTGATGGTGTTAACAGGGTGGATAAAGTTTTCCTCCTTTTTCTTGGTAAACTAATGGTCAAGAGTCAAAAGTTTTAGGTCAATTTGAGAGTGAGAAACAGAAATGTTGAAAAAAAAAATGATTATCGCTCAAGTGAAATCAATACATTTAAACAAATTACCAATAACTTGCAATACATTGTAATTGTCAACTTATCCGTAAGGAAATATAATCGCCTAGGTAATAATTGTAATGTTGACAAGTTGATTCCTTTGAACTGGAAGCAATTGATTAACTTATCAATCCAATGGTATTTGTACCAGCATTGAATGAGAATTGGTCATTTCTCGTATTGACCATTTATGGGCCATATTGGAAGCGATAAAAAAACTGATACTTCATCTCCATTGTAAGAGTCAATCTCTCAAATGTAAGATCTACATGACCTTTAATCTTAATCTTCAATTTTACTTGAAACCAATTAGTGTTAATCTTAATCCTACTTTAGATTAACTTATCATATTAGTTACAAGTTGTTCCCATTGTTAATATCCTTGATTGGTATGGTTTTACAGACTCACCGTGTACAATAAACCTTTCAACATCATCACCTCTGATAATTCAATTGAATTGATTAAATGATTTAACTAATCATCATCATGGTTAGATAAGCTTTACAATTGAATCTAATTGATTCTCTTGATAATCAATGATTAACTATTGTTGAAACAATTGAGATTTTCATTGATTGTTATTTATTCATGATTGACGAGAACAAAAATCGAAAGATAAACAATCAACTGATTGTTAAGGTAACTAATCGATTCACTATCAACATCATCACTTATCCTTAACAATCAAATCAATCGATTTCTATTTACTATTTACTTTTCATTCAAAAAGTTTTGAGATAAAAATAGAAGGATGGAAAAAACAAATTCGAAGCTAAAAAAAACTGGACAACACTTTTGACCATCACGATAGAAATGGTTGAATAATAATAGTGACGAATGAAATTTCATCTGAATAAAATGTTACACTTCAAAATGAATGGGTGAAAATTGATCAACAAACCAATTTATTAAGACTGTAGAGGTGATGGTGGTGTTGATGGGTGGATAGTGGTTGATATTGTTCACAAGCTCTGGTGGTGTTGTTGTTGTTGTTGCTGTTGATTGTTTATGTTATTGTTTTCTCACTTTTTCCCTGACTCAATCTTGAAAAACTCCATGTTGGTGGTGGGAGTTGGAGGGTGGAAAACAAGAAGTGATAAATGTGTCCCTTATGCTTACCCTTTTACTCTTGATGATATTGATTGTTACGTTAAACTGTTTTTCCTTGATGATCAAATTATCAGAGCATCAGTTTCTCATTAACAGTTTCAAAAGAATGAAAGAGAAAATCATCATCATCATGATGAGAAGAGGAAGAAGAAGAAAAAAAGGAAAAGGAAGCAAAGAAAAGAGAAGAGAAGAAAAAAAGCAATAGAATTACTTGATAAACCTTTTCTTCTGTTCATTGTATAATAATGATATTACTTTGATATAATAATGCTGATAATATTGACTTGAACTTGAATGGTCAGTTCGATAGTGTCCAAGTTCATTATGGACAATTTTTGTTTATAATGAGAGAATAACAAAAAAGGAGAGAGAAGAGAGAGAGAGACACCTTCACATGATAAAATGATAAATAATTATCTTCATCACTTAAAAAGCTGTTACTATTTCATTAAAGTTCATGGTGAGAAAATTTCATGAGTGATTATGGATTAGGGTGTTGGTCATCTTGATGAATCGATAAACTTTTATATTGGAATGAGATTAAGGTAAAGGTTTCATGATGAATTTATGATTTTATGAATTGTTTGTTGTTCCATTTTAATGTCATTTAAATTATGGTGATGAAGGAAAGATGAATATCAGATTGAATTGAATTTCCTATCAGATGAATAATTCAATTTTAAAGTGATGATAATCTTTCATACTCTTTTTCCTAAATATCCTATTCAATCCTGCTCTTTGGTGTTTTATATCCTTAACCCCCTGCACCTTATCCTCCTCCTCCATCGGTCATAAATCTTGATTAATGATCACCTAATCTGAAGCAGAATTTTTTCCCCTCCTCACCATGGATGATGATAATGGTGTCAACTATTGATAAATTTTTCGCTAACCCTGAAAATTTATGATTCTCTTCATGATTCACTTCTTAAGCTAAAAGGATGTTGCAAGTCACACTAATAGTCTTGTGGGTGGCTGTGGGTGTGGTATAAGGTTAAATCCTTGTTAAAATCCACTTTTGTACCGATCAAAGTTTCCGTAACAATATAAATTCTGAACTTTTGCCTTCCGAATTCGTATACAATTTGAAGCGATCAAAACCTGGACACTTTAGTGAGCATTGAAATTTTCTTAAAATTCCAAAGTAAATAAATATTACTGAATATCATTATTATCTCACCTTGAATTTTGTCATGAACATGATAAGAAAACAATATGAAATATTCATTTTGTATCTTGACTTTTCTATTTATTTTCACTGGAAAACAATATTCAATGATCAAGGATAATAACTATGACAATTTATGATTTATTGCTCGGAGTTCAACTAAGTGATAGTGAGCCGATGAACGATTAAGTTGAAGAATTGATGATTAGAGTTGATTTCGATGGTGGTGAATATAAAGATACCAGTAAACTTTACAACATCAAACACACTGTGAGAATAGACATCAAAAGTTTCAATAGCAATTCTGTAAAGTATTTTCTTCGATGATCAATAGACTAATTATAAAATTATTTAACATTCGTCGGCTCCATGATTGAGTTAATGAGAATTTTAGTTGGACGATCTTCTCAGATTAGCAATCAATAGCAAAAGATTCGCTGACATTTCAAGAAGAACCTGTAAAATGATCATGCGATAAGTGGTCATTAGATTATCAGTCTTATTTGGTTGGTTTAATCTTCTCACCATCAGAAAATGAAACATCGAAAAGTTGAGAGCTCCAAAAAGGACGAAAAACTGTCGCTCTTCGACATGTTCAAGATAATTAATTATCTTGATTTTCACCTGATTGCTTGTATTGTTATAAAGAACTTTTAGCAATTCCATACAATATTTTTGAATCTAAATTCGAAAAGAAATAAAAAAAAAAAGTTTCTGACCATTACAAGAACACGCAAATGTTTCAAAACTGAAGTTTGACTGACCGATTGGTTGGAAAATGAGCCAAAGAAAAATGGAAGTGATAAACCACAGATCCAATTAGTTATTGCCAAGATGACCAACGCGATTCTCAAAAATGTTGGAATATCAACGAAAAAGGCCATATAAAGTACAATAGATTGCGCGATAAAAGTGGCCAAAAATACCGTTTCAAGGAGAAGTGCCCAAAATCGATAGCCCTCAATGAATCCAATTAGTCGAACTAAACTTGTTTTAATCGATGAATTAATAATCAATGTGATCATTTCGCGATTGATACAGACTTTTTTCGCGCCTAAATTATCGATAAGACCGTTTTTCTCGTCAATCATTTGCTTCCCATAATAATAAGCTTGAAATGCAAACAAAACACCAAAATTGGCGGCATAACTAAAGATCAATACGAAGTGTGAAACTGTAATGGTCAACCAAATAACCAGGTAATGAATAAACTGCTTCGGATAAATGAAAAACGAAGGTATCGTTAAGAAAAAAGCGCCAACACCACCAGAGTAAAAGTAAAGATCATTCGCTCGAAAAAATAATCTATGGTATCGAGTTTGAATTCCAGTGTAAGGATGAATTATAGTTGAGTCCAAATGTTCGAGAAGTTCGCCGAAATTGATCCATTTCTTTAGTTTAGGTTGAAAATGAGATCGTAATAAAATCCAGCAACAATTCAAGGTTCCAACGTACCAACTAAGGTAAAGTAACGTTAGTGGTTTTCGTGATGAACCAGCGACTAAGGTAAGATCACCGATGTAATAAGATATGTTGGTCACTTTACTTTGAAATAACTGGTAGGCCAATTTAGCGACATTCAATAAGCACAAGAAAAATGCCACATAAAACCACCATTTAGGCCACTGGACATTTGGCTCTTCTCGAGTTAGATAGTTGATATCGAGCATTTGTTTATTCAGATAACGACGTAAACTTGGATAACTGTTTTGTCCATTTTTGTGATTTACCTTTTTCAATTCCATTTCTATTCTGCTTATTATAACAATTAAGGTTCGATGTTTTCTCGATCGCTGATTAATACACATTAATTTCATTTCTTTTTAAATTTAATCTCATCGAGATGAGAGCAGATCAGTTGATTGAATTCATCCATCTGAAGACTTGAAATTAATCAACTAAATTCAATTTCACGCAAATTTTATATCAATTTTAAAATTTTGGTTTGTAGTCCATTTGAATTGTAATTTAGTTCAGAACCATACAAACTGCAATACTCAATTCAAATTAACGTTTGAGATACAAAAATTTAGGTTATTCTTAAATTAAGCTCATTCAATCAATAAGTTTAACGATCATAATTATCTAAGCACGAATTTATTTAAGATTATTCATCAAAAGAAACATTTAATATTTTGATGGACGAAAAATAATCAACAATTAGGCCATTAATTAGAATTGAATTGGTAATAGTTACCCAATTTCAACTCAGAGTAACTGATCAATGAATTTACAGTTATTATTATGAAAAAGTTTTCAAAGACAAATGATTATCGTTTAAAAAAAAATCTAGAATTTTGCATGAGAGAAACTCAGTTCATGAATTTGATTCGATAACATTGATGAATATTATAGTTCTGATATTCATATTATTATCTATTAATAGTTAATCATCTTGTAGCAAAGTTTTTCTTCATAACAATTATGAGATTATAAATGAATTATAAATAATTATTTAGTTTAATATAAAAAGGAGCTCAAGATTAGCATTAAAATTTGTAATTTTTAATGAAATCGTTTATTGAAAGTTAATCAAAACATGAATCAATTAAATAAATGATAAGATTAATTATAAGATTATTGTATAAACTGTACTATCATTAATCTGAATATCTTTTTAGTCTGAAACTATCAAGAAATTGGTTAAGATGGTTTGTTCCCATGATGATTTATTCATTGATTGGTCAGTTGATCTCATCAATTAACTTTGACCGAGATGAAAATGATCAACATGATCAAGATAATGGTTAATGATAATCAATGGGGAAAATTTAAATGATTACATGATCAGAATTCAATGATGAGGAATAGTAATTTGATGGATCAATGGTGATAATAAATAAAATGAATGTGATAACGATAAAAATGCAAACATGATAATAATAACATGAATAATAGGATTCTAGAAATAAGGTGAATTTTTTTCACCCAAATAACAAAGTACAAAAAGTTCTAGACCTCTAACTGTGAACCAATTTTCCAAGTAAAACTTGTCATCAGAATTTTTTTCCTCCTTCTCCTGTCAATCACAAATTCTGTAAGTATGAATACTACAGAATTCTGTGTGTGTGTGGTGTATATTTATATAAATGTTGTGGAGAAACAATTTTCCATCTTAATATTTATCTATCACTTGTTTCATATTCAATATGAGATTGGTGAATTTAATGTCATCTTCATGATGAGAGATGAAAGTAAAAAGACACTAAGACAAGATCAGAATCTTCATGATCATGATCATTATCAATATGAACATCATTTTCTCTGTATATGAATATTATTGCTCAGATTTTTTTTCCTCATGAATTCATGGTGATTGTATTATTACATATAAAAATATCTGAGGAGCAAAAACTTTATTTGCATTCTCTGCATTTCCGATATTTATTTCTTAGCATTTCCTGGTTACCCGGAAACAAAACTGGAATGAGTTGTTCATCCATGAATCCCTGATTCAACTTTCATGATAATCATGCAGAAATCATCATGTTGATCAACTCTGCTCATCATGAAAACAATCAAATGTTCATGGTGGGACAGATTACTCTTGGAGACACCGAAAAACAAGAAAAAAATAACTATTGTGATGAAATTAAAGATGATAATAATACAATATCACCAAAATGGTTATCTACAAATAAGTGATTTGATTAGATTTCAATCAAGATCAAATATAACATTACAAAAGTTATAATAGTTTTAAAATATCTCATGAAATTATCATGATAACCTGATTTATATGTAAAAAAAACTTCATTCAAACAGCAAAGTTCAAGGGGAAATACATTGGATACAATTTTTAAATAGATATTTTTTTACTCTTATTGTTGTTACAAGTTACAATTAGCATATAATTTGCAAATCAAATTGTGAAATCCACAATTTTCATGAGATTTCATGGTGGAAATTCCCAAGTCTCAAGTTTCATATAAAAACATCTAATTGTTCAACTCTTTCAAAGGGAGTCGATATAAAAAGATGAGAGAAACTTCAATTGTTGAGAAATATGTTTGATAAGGAAAAAAAAGTTCAGTCTCTATGCTCCATGATTATTATATCATTTCCACCATGAAAATGATATAATGATACTGAGAGAAAATGTTTGTTGTGTGTTTAACATTTAATAATCTCTTAACAGAACTTTTTTTTCTCCCTCTCTCAAAGTTCAGTGGAAATTCAGTGAAGAAGAATTTTTTTCTCCTCTTCTTCCTTAGATTAATCTCAATTGACTTCACTTGAGGTGTTGGGAGATGAAATTTTTTTCTTATTTATTTTTTTCTCATTTAAATGAATCATGTTTTTTAAGGGCTCACCTTGTATCTTGGTGTATATTAATATTTCTCATGAGTGGGTGGAGAGAGAGAGAGAGAGAGAGAGAGAGAGAGAGACTGAGGTGGATTCTATGTGTGTTTAAAGAGAGTAAGAAGAGGAAGAGGAAAAGGGAGAGGGAAAAAATGAAGAAGTACTGAGAATTCAATCGATTTCGTAAAGTGAACCAATGAACTCGAAGACCATTGTGCCGTGAAAACAGTTTTTCGAATTCTATTTCTTCTTCTCTTTCTATTCTTCTCCATTTTTATCTTCATCTTCTCTCTTTTTTTCTTCTCTATGCATTTTCTGTTCTATTACTTATTCTTTTTCATCTTTTGCACGATAATATTTATCCTTTGCTTTTCCATCTTCTTTCATCATTTTCTTTCTATCCTTCAGTCTGCATATTTCTCATCATGGTCTTCCTTATTCCTCATGAATTCTTTCTTTTTAACAATCCTTTCTCTCTCTCTCTCTCATCAGCTATTCAATCTGTTCCTTTGAAGAATTGAATATATTCCCACCTTCCATCATGATACTGAATATATTCTCAGTCTATTTCATCTCTCTACTCTCTTATTCAGAATTCAGATTAACAGTTATTGAATATTTTGAGCATATTGTTGATCCCTACTTTTCTCATCGATTCATGTTAAGTCAACATGAGGAGGTGAACTTAAAAGTCAAATATTATAATAGTTTAATCATAAGAATTACAACAAAATATTCAATAAAATTTAACTACTAAATCATTTGCTTGTCAGTTTGTTAAAAGTCGTGATAATTAATCTTTAAACATATTGCCTTTTATTTAGATCATGAATCAGAAAATTTCTCAGTCCAGAATTTCAAGGTTATCGAAGGTTATCTCCAGATAGATAGAGCTTCATGTGTATTTCAGAGAATGTCATAAGGAATAAGCTTCATTCTTTAGGTGATGTCTTAGAAAAATATCTATCTAAATGTGGGCTGACTTTTTTAGCCACTGATTTTGAGGTCGAAAAGTTGAACTTTATCTCGGTTCTTTCAGAGACTGGAACTTATATTAAATATTATTGAAGTATCTCAGTTGACTATCATTATGATTCCTATGAAATGGAAATGAAATTGAAAAGTTTTTCTCTTATATGTGTATTTTTTCATTCTTGGTATTAATATTTGTTCAGATAGAAAATAAAATTGGAAGCTGAATTTGAAAGATAAGCTTGATGATGATTAAATCCATCTCAACCTATCCAAAGAATCTGATATCATGCATTGTTTACATGAGAATTTTGGAATAATTTTCACAACTGATTTAGTTCATCACCTGTTAAGAAGCTAATTCAAATGTACATAGAATTCGAAAGTTTATGAATTTCAGGTGGAATTCATGATAAAACTTGTTTTTCTCTCATCTTTTTCTTCTTCTTGTGTATTACTGACTTCTTATCATATTCCTTCCAGGGTTGAGAACGCGAGAGAAACAATAAGAATTTAAAGATATTCAGCCCAGTGGATGTTTGTTCATAGATCAGAATGAAATGGAATCAGTTAGAGAGAAAAAAGTTCCGATTTAAAGTTACAAATTAAAGATGAAAATTCATCGACTGGCAAAAGTAAACTTAACCTTAAGCTTATACAAGATGAAACTTTTTCTTTGTCAACGTGTTTGTAACACTATCATGGAAATGAACTGAATTCATCAAACTTGTTTATTCAGTGTTATCTTATCCTCTTTATCTACCTCACAGCCTCAGGGTAATAAATAATTCTGCAACTTTGATTTACATAAAGATTATAACATATTCGATACCTGAGAAATATCCAATAAACTTGGAACTGAAAAGTTATTCGAATTTTCGAAAAAATTTTAAATCTCATATCCATCTTCAAACTAATCGAATACGAAACATCATGACAGAGTAATCAAGATAAAAATCGACAGCGAAAACAATTTTTCACCAAGAAAATAAACGCCGAATGAGTAGAAAAGTCAGATTCTCAAAAGAAATTAAGTTTGTTTCCTTCTCTTCTCATTAGAACTTTACTTTTCCAAAGTTCGATAAAATGTAAATTATTTTCCTCGCTCATTTATAATCTATTATCCTAATGATTCCTAAATTTACTCAGGTAAAGTAACTAAATCAGGGATAAGGTAATTTTAGATGGAGGAAGATGACAAAGGTGTTCAAGTCAAGATATTGCTACATGAATATCAAATCATAAATTATCAAGTTCGGTGTCACCAAACAGATTATTCAAATTTTGTAGCTTCTTTCATGGAAATCAAAATTCCGAATCAGCAGAAATACATGGAGACACAATGGAAATGAGAAAAAAAAATCGTTAGATCAACACTTAGTGTGGAAGATAAAATTCAACAGATTCAGTGTTATCTTCATGATCCTATTGTTAATTTCTGACAGATCAGTTGTTGATGAATAATAATAGGGAGGGAAAAAAGTTCTGAAAGTCTTTGAGCCTTTCTCTTTGAATGAAAATCACTATATGTTGACGAGACTTTGATGGTGATAATTATGATGATAATTCATTGAATTCATGATATTAAACTCCCATGTACCTACAAGTTAATGAGCATTAAATTCAGTTAACAACAATCATGAACAAGACTCAAACTCTGTATTCCATGAAAGAGAAGAATAAAAAAAATAGAGAATTAATATTCATAACGAATGGTATAGAAAATTATTTCCTCTCTTTCATGAGATTTTACTGATTTTCTTCCCTGTAAATGATGATAACAATTATCTTCATTATCATGGTACATCATATATTGTTAACGAAAACAAGAGAATTATGAAAAAAAAAAATCGACTGAAAAAAAGTTATATTCTCAGTTCAGTTGTTCTCAAAACTTTTTTCTTCTCCTGTTTGTTTCCTGTTATCATTCTGATGATATAAATCCGACCGAATCTGAGTAATATTCAAGAAGATAAACAGAATTGGTGAATTTATCATGTAGTATATTTCATAGTTGATTTGAAGAGAAAAAAAGTTCTGAAGAAATTTAGAGTAGAAGAAAAATTATTTCATTCAAATTCGAATTCATGATAAGTTTTTCACCATGAACATAATTAAAGGAAGTTCAATCAAAATTCTAGTGTAAAGTGTTTCATATCAAGCACAGAATCTCATGATTCATATTCGGCTAATTAATTGGCTGTATCGATGGACCAGTTCAATGGATTCGCAAGTTCAATCAACTATTTAATTGGAGCTAATTATCTGAGCAATTAAAAGTTTGTATCTATTTTCAGACAATAACAATCCGGCCATTGATCATATGTGATGAACTTTTTTTCATTCGAGTCTGAATGGAAAATTCCTTATCATGTACATATTTCCCGTTTCTTCAGTTCCATTTCCTGTTAACCTTTTATCATGATAACTTTTTTTGTCTTCTCTTTCATCATGAATCATAATTGTCAGGAAAGATAAACTTATCATGTTTATAAACAATAGATGGAAACTTTTTCCCTTCAATCATCATGTTAAAGATGAGGAACAGAAAAAAAGTTCTGCTTGTTTTCATATTTTCGTTTTTCCTAATAAGTTGTTCCCATGAAAATCATGATAACGTTTGAGCGTTGAACCGTTCAAACGATTTGAGATAATTCGAGAATAACGGAAATGAACAGTAGGCAAGTAATTAGGTTCGACATTATAACCAAGCGTACAAATAACATACGAAGCAATTGAATGAGTTGATACAATGTTTCAATTTCTTCTTTGGCTTAATGAACTTTTTCATCTCGAAATTGATGATTCATAATTAGGACATTTTCAATTGATCAAATTAATCGAAAAGTGACCTTTTCTGAGGCCATTTTTCTCTCATTATTTGAAGTTTGCGCTTCATTTGATTGCTAATATTGAGAGAAAATAATTAACCCTCATTTTCCCAACTAATCATCATGTTTAATTGTGTGCAATCAATGGCTGATTATTAAATGAACAATTGATTTGCATAAATAAATGAGTATAACCCTTTAGGTTATAGCAAATAGTCAAGTAAATTACTGTTACTTTATGTTAATTGTTCACTTTGTAAACAATAAAATCAATTGTTGATTGTGATTTAATCGTTGGTTGAATAATCATCAATGTGATAATTGACTGAACTTTTGAGATATTTGTTAAATTTAAAGGCGAAATTTACTTTGAAAGTATTTCCTTTATTGACTAAGTTTATCCAATGGAAACGAATCAACATTATCTATTCAAATAAAGATACATTCTCATGATGATCATTGATTGTTCATCCATCATCGTAATCGCTATTATCATGTAATATCAAATAGGTTCATGGTGAACTTTGTCAGGGAAAAAGTTGTGACTTCAAAGAAATGTGTACATAAATATCAAGAAAAAAGAAGAAAAAAACTAATCTGATTCCATGATAAATTCTGAAGATGAGATAACAATCGAAGCGATGTTTTCAATATTATGGTGAATTGATTGGTTCGATCAAATTTTCACATTCACAATCGTTAATCATTCAAAGAAAACGAACAGAAAAGTTTCATGATTAACATTTTATTCAGAGAAAAAGATAAAAAAAAGTTCTGATAATAAGAGAAAAAATTGTCAAGGTAAACATGGGGATTCTATTGATAATATTACCTATGAATAGAGTGACACAATGGATGATATTGAATGGAAGGGGAAGATTGAAGGAAAAAACAACAGACGACAAGATGAAGATAAAAGCAGCATCCTGATCATCACCATCATCATCATGCATGATCATGACGATGGAAACACTTTGCTCAGAATTGTGAAGTGTAATGTATCATGATGATAAAGATAAATTATGCAACTTTGTTTACGATAAAGTAGGTTACTCTGTACGGAGAGAAAGCAAAAAAAAGATTGCAAATATTTTCAATCTATTATTATTCAGATGACGATGATGATGATGATGAGAAAGATGCTAAACTGCCTCACTCTCTCACTCTTCACTCATCCCATGTAAATTCCCAGATGGATGTTGATCTGAGGAGCGAAAGACAGGGAGGGAAGATATAATATTCCTTCCGGTTGATTCAAGTCGAAACTTTTTTGAAAGGTGGTAACAAAATCGAGGGTGTAAAGGGGATGATGCAAGTGAGAATCATGAAGACTGATGATGATAATGGTTCTGAAAATTTTTCACTCTTTTTGACAAAACAATCACTTCATTCATGAGAATTCAGTTGTTTGCATGTTATTAGGATGAGTTTTTTCTTCGCTTCTAAAAGACATGTTTGATCATGATCATCATGTAATCCATCATCAGTTCATTTGGAAATTCACTCATTACTTGGAACTTTTTTATTCTTCTTCATCTCTACTTGACACTACTATCGACACGTTGAGCAATAAATGATTTCTCAATTGAATTGATTATCATCATCCTGTTGGAATATATTGATATTTGTCTCTCACTCTTTCTTTCAAAGTCTAAATTCATGATAAGAGAAAGAAAAAAAAAATATTTCGAATTCAGAGTCAATTGAAAAAATCAGTTATTCTCTTATGGCAAAGACTTAAAACTTTTTTACAGAATAAAACTCAAAGTTCTGAAGGAAAATTTCACTCTCTCTCCTTCAATATGAGAAACTATTCTGACCAATTGAACCAGAATTGAAATCAAACTGTCAACATGATGATTATCATGATTGTGATTCCTCATGGAGTTGAAATCGCCCTGAGGTGTTGCCTGAAATTTAATCTCGATCAAATTAAACTTTTCCTCTGGTCACTTTAAATTCTGAATGTCATCATGATAAAATTCATTGGACAAGATAAAAGGCAGAGAAAGTTCATATCTAATGTCCAGTGGTCTTTTTCCAGTCCATCTTCAGGTCAAAAGTAATCAAGTTTTCTTGTTTATGACTGACCATCATCATCATAATCATCTTGAAACAAATTGATAACATTGTAATTGAAGATGAAAAGTTTAAATTTGATAGGAATCATGATGGAAATAGTAAGAAAAAAGTTCTGGTCTCTTCATGATAACCATGAAGATGACAATAATAAATAAAATGCAATCCAATTTATATTTATAACTTTGGTAAATGGTCAAGCTGTGAAACGGGAAAAGGTCAGTATTATCTTGTGTGTGTGTTTGTCTGAAGGGTGGGAGATAAGGCTTGAAGGGAGTGGAAAAGTTTCACCACTCTCTACTTGATCCCTTGATTTTCTTGCCTTCAATTTTTATTCATCATAGAATCATGATCATCAGGATCATCACTATTATCATCAGTTTCAGTTTCAACTCAGTCAACTATGAAATTCAAACATTTTTACAATTCCATCTTCATCCTCCTCCTTTTTCCTCATCTACCTCCACCCACTCCGCTATTCTACTCTATTATTATCGAAATCATCATCTAAATGTAATATTTATCAGGGAAAAAACAAAAAAAAATCCTCGAATCAACTCAGTGTGAAAAAGAGAAAGAGAAAATAACAGTTACATGTAATACACTTGTTTATTTGTAAAATTCATGAACATTACAAGGGAAAAGTTCTGATGATGATGAATTCAGGGTTGAAAGGAGGTGGAGGTTAAACAACAATACTAAATGGACAAAAATCCAAGGGAGGGAAAGGTAAAATTGTTTCGAAAGGTATTTTAACACTCTCCTCAGTTCCATCTTGGTATAAACTTCCTTCATCGTCCACTTTTTTTCTTCATCTTCTCATCATTTTCTTACAGTTTATCATCCTTTTCTCTCCTTCATTTTTAGATTCTCATCTTTTCTCACCTAATATTTTTCAGTAGAACTTTTTTCCTTTTATCTTTTCTCAAATTTCTTTTCTCTCTCTCTCTTTGGATGACTTTATTTCTCTTCCTTATCTTCATGTCAAAGCCAATATTCACTCCCTGTAATCTTAACAGGGAGTTATTTGTTCTGACAGATTTTCCCACTTTCCACCTTACCCTCTCTCTCTTTCTCTGTTATATTATCTTATGCCAAGAAAAAAATAGCGAAAAAATATTTTGAATTGTTGTTATTCCTTCAAGATACTCATAATCACGATAATAATTCATAGAATCCTCAGACTCAGAACTTTTGCCTCTCAATTTCCAACCAAACTCATTCCTTTCCATGCATGTCTATGAATGAACCAAACCAAATATCAAAGTATTATAATAAAAAAGCAAATATTGTAAAGTAGAAATTGAAAGAAGAAAAGTTTTTGTTATTTCCAGAACCTGAGAACATGATAACTTACATGATGAGCATGAACAATGTTATCGGTTATATATATTTTTTTCACCTTCAATTTTAACTTTAGACTTGATAAATTTGATAGAAAAGTTTGATAATTCATTCAACTCATGATTACTACAAATGATTATATTGAAACTTCATACAAACTTTGATCTAATCAAAACAATCAACTGATATAAAATGATTAATATTGATCTTTATTGATTGATTACTTTCAATTGAAACTTTTTTGTTTAGTTTTTGTTTCCTCAACTTTTATTATGATGATGATTTTTCATTGATTCTGAAATTTTCAGGAAGAGTAATTTTATCAATGGTGTGTGTAAATGTATTATATAAAAGTTAGTAAATATTTTTACCTGATGATGATGATGATGGTGGTGGTTGATAAATATGATTAGATAATTTGGTTTGACAGTTTGCATGATGAAAAGTAAATAGACACAAAATTATAGCGATATTTGGCATTCCCTTGACTCGGGATAACCCACTGAACACAAGAACCACGAACAGAAACAAACTCGAAACAAAACCGAGCAAAGAAAAGTTTCCAAAGGAAAGTTAAAGTAAAATATGAAAGAATTTAACAAGTTCGAAACTCCTTCAGAACTTTTTCTTTGACTTCTCTCTCTCTCTAAGATGCGATTTTAGATTCCACAATAATGATTGTTCCTGAACGAAGTTCAAACATGGAAAATAATTGATTGAAACAATTAAGGTAAACAAATTTTGATTCCAATTGTATTAGTGATGATTCCTTGGGGATTTCCCTGCACAAGTCATCTTTTCATGACGATAACAATAATGAACAATAAACAATTGGTAGAAAAGGGTAGATGATGAAATTTTTCAAGAAAAGCAAAAAAAATAATTCGACAACTAAGAACTCGAGATGTAACAACAACTGATGGTGAAAATATTGTTCTAACAAAATTGTTTTCTCTTCAGAACTTTTTTTCAACTCCCATTCTCTCCCTCTCTTTTTATCTCTCCCTCTTCCTCTTTTGTTATTCAGCATTTTCACCATGCAGTTTCGTAGTTCATGAAGGCATGAGCAAGTTCATGCGCTTTTTAATATAATTCATTGAATAACAAACAAGAACAACAACAACAAACATCATCATGAAATCTTCATTTAGATTCATTTGAATTATCTCAAGAATTATACTGAAATTTGGACCGGAAAATTCAATGTCAATCTAATATTTGGTGACGATTATCATTAGATGTGTGAATGAAAAATTACCAATTCATGAATTTACATTCTTCCAGAGATAAAAGTTCATAGACTCTGAGTTTATCTCTTGAATATTAGATTCATCTTTTAACTACCTGTCATGATTATCACTTTTATCATGAAGATTTTATGAATTTTTTTCCCTCTCATTGTTTCCTGAAGTTTCATGAACAGTAATCATATTCTTAGAGATAACAGATTCTTAGGATCTCTTATGATTATGATGATAATTTATTCATCTTTATATCATGGAATTATCTTCTAGGAATAGATATGGAAGATTATCATGGTTAAGCTGGCGATTCTGATTCCATGATGATGATGATGATCCAAGAAAGAGCTCAAATTTTTTTCCCCGAAAAAAAATCTCGATATTTATATCATTTGATTTCTTCCGTATCATATTATTATTTCTTCATGATAATATACTAAATCCTTCCCTGTAAATGTACCATGTAAAAAGGGAACATATAATTTCCACAGGAAAACCAGAATAACTTTAGAACAGAAAATTGTTTCAAATTTAGGGAAAGAAAGAAAAAATCTCTTCCTTTATCAAATTATCACCTTTGATCATGATGATTCCATGATATTCTGATTCAATTCTGATACTCAAAGATTAAGAAACAAATGACAAACTTTACGAAAAGTGGAATAATTTTGCTACTCATTTTTTTCTCGTCCAATTGGGATAACATTTTATTTAGAAGGTAAAAAAAAGTTCATCTGAAATTGTCTCCCTTTGAACAGATATAATCATGGTGATCATCATCATTTTCATGGTAGTAAGTTAACTGAAAATTCAGCTCAATGTGATTGACAATAATAATGGAAACTAAATTGCAATTGATTGTTTGGAGGAGGAAAAGTATATATTTTTTTATTGTTGAAAATTGCAATTGAAAATTTCCAGTTCATCATCATGAAAAATTGAAAGAAAAATATTATCTTTGAAAATGAACATCAGCTTAATGATGATCATGGTAATGATTAAAACCTTAATTGCTTTGATATTTTGACTCTGTTGATCATCTTGTTTGATAATAATGATATTATCATGATGGTAATAAGCTATTCTTACCTTTAGATTATGAGTTTTCATCGTCTTTATCATCATCATTTTCAATGAAACTACCTTTTTATCCTGAAATTGTCTGAGTTTTTTTGCTTCTTCATCCTCTTCTGTCATTGACATGATCATGTTGGGGGGGTTATATTGAATACATGAAAATATATCATTGATATTGAACATGTTCAAGGTTCCAGGTATCTTGTGTCCTCCTTTTTACCTCTGATTTATACAATATAAGGCATGAAGATTCAGGGTGAAAAGGGAGAGTAAGTGAGAGAGATGATGAGGAGGACAAGAAGTAGGAGAGTGATGGTAAGATGAAATGACAGGGCTACTTGATGACCACAGACACACACACACACACACACACACAATCTTAAGGGAGGAAAAGGGAATCAGCCTATTGAATTGAATTTTTTCCCTTATTGTTTCCACCTTCATGTATACACACACCGGAGAGATTACAGTTTGTTCAGCTTATTATCATCATCTTCATGATGATGATAAGGTAGAAGACAGCGAATCCTCTTAAGCTTTTATATTAGATATCTTATCATCTGTCTAACCTGAACACTAAATATAAACCTATTATTATATTGTATTTATCAAGGAGAGAGAGAGAGAGAGAGATGAAGAGTGGGTGGTGGAAGGTGGGAAGACGATAGTAAGAAGATAAATGATAAAAGTGGTAAAGCTTGTCTTCCTTAGAGCTTTTTTTGTTCATCTTCTTCAGATGATGATGATGAACAATTTTTACCTTTAAGTTGGGATAAAAGTTCAGGTCATGATACATACAAACTGAATAGAAGTAGAAAATAAAATTACTTCAACAATTTACACAGAGAAAAAAGTTTCAAAAATCTCACTGGATTAACAATTATTACCTGAAAATAAACAGGGTTCAAGCTATCAAATTGATAACCTTTAATTTTATCAATTTTCAGGTTAAGTTGAAAGTTCATCAACTTTATCATACCGATGATTATTTGATTGTAATAAATACAATTGTTGTTGTTGATATTTCAACAATGATTAGATGATTGTTGTTATTGTTACATGTAAACAGAGTTAATCTTATCCTTATCAAAGTCATATTGTGTTAACCTGACAATCAATTTGATTACCATTGGTACCGAAAACAATTAACTAATTTCTGTTGATAAGGTTTACATTTATGTGTATATATAATAAAAAAAACAAATAGTTGATTAAATTGCTGGAAAAAGTTGATTGTAAATAATCAACATCAACTAATGTCAAATATGTTTATTCAATTTAATTATCAGCCAATTGTTAATGTTTCAACTTTCACTTGACAGTAATCAAGTTAATTTAATACTGTCATTAACTGTCATCCATTAAATCAAAAGTGAAAACAATTAATATCCAACAATGAAGTAAATTAAATTTGATTATGATTGATTTTTTTGTCTTATTTTATGTATTTTTGAAATGAAAAACTGAACAATCGTCAAAATAATCAAAGGGTTTTTTAATTGTCCGAAAGTTTTTATATTAAATTAATTGTTAAACTGTGACAGAATTGATCTTTTTGATTAGTAAGTAATTTTAAGTTAATTGTCATTAGAAGGTTATAAAAATATTCTCGCCTTAATCAAGAGATTACCAAATTTAATTGTATCATCATCAGCTGATCTATTGATTCGGGTAAAAGTGATCAACTTTTTCCTACCACAAGATGGATTCCGTTCAATGGGCTTGATGAATGACCTTCTTGGACACTCATGAGTTGTAGTGTTTGATGGTACGATGGTAACGCTCATTTCCTCTTCTCGAGCTGAGGTCACAATTTCCGTTCTATTGTAAACAATTAATCCCTCATTAGATGAATACTCATTTGCTTGATTAATAATCATCAGCTGATAGGTGTGGTTAAAAGGCCAGGTAAGTAGATTATCATATTCCCCTTCAATCAATGTTGTCTCCAGTCCAATGTCACCTTTTGAAGGTCCAGTTGAATTTAATCGTAAAGATAATTGCATCAAATATCCTTGACCATTGGTATAAAATTCTGGACTTGTGAATGTTTTTAAACTTCTTCCCATATAATCAAATCTACTTAATTTATATCTTATATTTGGAAGTGACCAGGTAAATTCTGAGACAAGTTGACCTTTATAAAGTCCAATTGAAGCTGATTTACGACCTGAAAGATGATTAAACTTGGTGGTCAATTGAATTTCCATTGTATCATTAACGATAAATCGATAGTGTGTTAAATGAAGTAAATGCCATGATTGAATTGTGGTAAAACAAAAGTCCAAATAGTTTGATGGTTGAAAAAATGGTGATGATGTACAATCAGCTGATGAAGGGGTCAATAGTATTGTGTAATCTTTACGCCAATATTCAGGTGAATGGTCAACTATTGAAACTTCAAGTGAATATGGGAAAGGCCATTGGAGATATCTAAATATTCAAGTAAATTCAATGATCAGAGATAAACATTAATCTGTATACATCCATTTGGAAATGTTTAACAATTGAAATTGATTAAATTCAGATATGAATAGAAACACAATTTCATTGTAAATATTGTATCAACAATTTCTCAGCTTAATTTAATCTGTAAATCTTTGAGTATCATGTTCAGTATCATGATAATGATGAAAATTTAAATTCTAACCTCTTGTTTGCTTACATGATACAACACATTTACTGAACTTTACTGAGAAAGTTATTACATTTTCACCATGTTAAAAGTTTCTTGTTTACTCAACTTTAAATGGATATTGAACATGATGAATTCAGTAGATTTGGAATTTTGAGATTAGAGATTGAACTTTTTTTTTCTTTTATCGATATATTTTCGAGAGGAAACTTTTCTGACTCTCAAGGGAAAGTTTCGAGCTTTGATTCTTACCTATCGTAATCACCCTGCATGAGTGCCAATGAGATTGCAAAGGCCCGATCCTTGGGTAACAGTGTCATGAATAGTTTGACCAGGTAGCCCCCTTGGTGGGTGTAAAAGGGTTCAGATTGAAGGACGGTGACTGATCCATTGGTGTTGGCCTTTTCAAAGGCGGTGGTAAAGTTTTGTATCTTCCAAATGTGTTTGGTTACCAGATTATTGTGCCGCAGGTGAGTTGATGCCGTCTCATGGGTTATCCCTTTATCACCGAGCTGGAAAAGTCCCCTGACCACTAGGGTTCCGTTTCGTAAGTATCGTGAAGATTCAGTGAATAGTTTAAGCAATGAGATGACTCGTCGGCTGCCACATCCATCAGGTTGTAATGTCCAATCGTCTTGTTGTGATGGTCGCAAGAATACTGAACGTAAGCGACATGGGTCAATGTTTGGTGTTATCGAGTGTTCCAAGTTTTCATCGGAGTTAATTAAATCAACCAATGATAATTTGGCCTTTAACTGGAATGGCCATTCAAGGGTTTCGTCGTATTCACTTGTCATAAGTTTGAAAAATAGTCCAACATAACTACTGCCATCGGTGAACGTATTGTTAGGCCAAAGTAATAGTTGAGCTCGATAACCAGGCTTAGAAAGGTGAAAGGTGGAGATCGGACAAAGGGTACACCAACTTCGAGAACTTTGAAAAAATCTGGAACTCGCCATTCATATTCAACGAAAGGTTCATTAGAACCATTTGATAAGTTTCTAGGGACTCGAACCAGTTGACCGAATTCTTGAAAGAAATGAAAACATGAAAGATAAAAAACAAAACAAAAGATAAAACTTCGTTCTCAATAATATTATTACTCATTTTCAAATAGCAAGCTTCAGTGTTACTCCTGAAATCATCATGACGCTGATTCTTATCACTCTGACAGTTCTGAAAGAATCAAAAGTTTCACCAACATACAATTGAATCTACATGATCTTGAACATCTTAATCTAAAATTGAGTAGAAGGTGAAAAATTCAAACCATAGACCAGAACTTAGATGAAGAAGGAGGTGATGCAATGAAACATGTAAACCACCATCACCACCACCATCATCATCATCACCATGACAAGAACATCAGTGTGGAAATAGAGAGAGAGGAAAAAAGTTCTGAATAATGTTCTAAAAAAAGAATAAAAAAAAGTACGATTTTCATATATCATGTTTAACCAACCATCATGACTATAAACCCTGTCAACAATGTTCAAATCGTGACCTACTCATGATAAGTTCAATACAAGGGCGGGAAAGCTTTTCCCTTTATACGAAAAGGTCAAGTAAACCAACTGACCAGTGATAAGATTGATTGAAACTCAGAGGGACAAAAAATGAGCAATAAAAAACGTAAAAGTAACAAGAAAAAAAATTCCAATAAAATTCATGATAAGTATTCAGAGGGAGCGAGAAAAGGAAATTTGAAATTGAAATAAAAATGAATAATCTGATATCAAAGATGATTGAATATTTTTTTCATGGGTGAGAAATGTTTATTATTGCTCTTGTTACCATGTAACTTGTACTGTCCAGTTGACTGGTCAGTTTAAAGACAAAAGGATAAAATAAGTATTCAGAATGGGAGAAAAGTTTGGAAAAACTTTTTCTTCCACCATGGTTAGAAGCAATTCTCTATCGTCGGTGCAGAGAGTTGAAAGTATCTCCAAATTAACTCTTAACGATGAGTGTAAAAGTGTCGGTGGGAAGTTTATCCTGAAGAGAGAGAGAAATGAATGCGATGATGAGAAGATGAAGAAGAAGCAAAAAAATGGAAGAAAATAAAATGATTCAATAGATGAAGATGGAAACGTGTTCTGAATAGTTCTGAAGGTTTTATCTCACTTTCCACTCTCCCTTGTGCCGATGGTCTCGTTATTATCACCATGAATTTGAACACACTCTTGGAAAACTGCATGTTGCTTGATAATCAAATTTTTTACCCTCGGTGGTATAGTAGCTACTTTTTATTTTGCTTCTCGGTGGGAAAAACGATGAAGAGAAAGAGAGAGTAGAAAAAAGTTCAGTTCCAATTCAGTGAGACTCAATCCTTTGGAGGATAAGATAATAACGTTGATACAAAGTTAAATTGTCTATGTGTGTGGATGTGAGTTGCTGTTGTTGTTTGTGTGTCTCTGATGTTGTTGCAAAAGATGATGAGGATGCTGAAGATGAACTTTTGTCTGTTTTGCGATTTTTTCGTTTTTTATCTATTGTTCTAGTTTCTGCTTCTTTTTTTACAAAACTTCCTGTATCAATAGCGTCAGTTGATGATGATGAACATTATCATTATCATCGTTTTTCATCACAATTGATTCAAACCATTCATGGGAGTTGAGTTTATATTTGTGTGTGAGTATTTATACCTATTAACTTACTTGATGGTAACTGTTCATATTCAGCTGAGTACTTGAAACTTTATTGTTGTTGAAACAATTTCAAGTATTTTGTACAGAGTAAATGATGAATTTCACCATGATTATCATGTATCAGACACAGAGAGATAAAGTGAATCAGAATTTCAGATGAACTCGAATACTTATCAGAACTTTTTTCTTCTTCTTTCTAGACTTATAAAGTTGATGATTGTTTTTAGTTTCGATTTTACTGAAAAAAGAGCGAACCAATGAGAGAGAGAGAAATTTATTCTCTTTTTTGTGAGAGAAGATGAAGATTAAGATTCTGATGTAGTAGTTGATGATGATGTGAATTCAGAGGATGAACTTAACAGGAGGAAAAAAGTTCCAACTATCATGTTCCTTGGTGTTATATCTACATCATTTTTCAATGTTGAACAAAAAACCTACTTAAGTCTATGAGTGAATCTTTTGCTTTGCTGTTACTTATTTTTCTTGTCCAATTGTCACAAGGAAAACAAGACAATGAGTAAGAGAAATGACGAAAATAAAGAGAGAGAAGAAGATGAGAGAGATAGAGAGAGAGACAAGAATGAAGATAAAGAAGGATAAAGATAGAGGATAAAGAAATGTAGATGGACATAGTGACCATTTGATCATCTAAGGAAAATCCGAAGTAAAAAAAGGAGCAAGAGAAATTCGGGTGAATCTCCTTCCCTTCATCTTTTATCGGTCATCCTACTGGTCATTTCGTTACTTTGCTGATTTACTGACCATTTACTTAAAGACAATTATCATCATCATCATCTTGTGATTATGCAAACTCACAATTTCAATGGTTGTTATTGTCTTCAAGGTGGTCAACCATTGATTCAATCAATGGAATTGTGATTCTTGGATGCTGGTCAAGAAAAAGAAAGGAGAAAAAAACTGAAAACAATTAATCATACTGGTCATTAACATGATACAATATATAAATATAATGACCATGTCCCACATCTCATGTCTCACCATGGTAGTGGTCAGCTTTTGATTTGATTGTTTGAATGTATCATAATAATAATAACCAATGACCAAGATGACAATAAACGATGATGCTGATGAAAGATGACCAACTAACACCCAAATAGGGAAACATTTATGCAAATGTTTCAATTGTGAATCATTAACTTAACATTAATTGTAATTGATTAGATTAACTTATCTTCAGTAATAATCATCGTCAACATCATTATGGTAAATAATACAATCAAATAGGGAAAAGGAAATCAAATTGACCCAAGATAGACAATCAATCAAAAATTATACAAAAAGGTCATTTAAATGATGGACATTAAATGGACATTAATGTGATAACATTATTACTGAATCATTTTCATGACTTTTCAGCAGATAATTGTAATCAATTTGATTTCTAATTCTGAACGAGAGAGAGAGAGAGAAATTCAAGATCGTAAAGTTCAACGTGATGAGAATTTTTAATTTTTAAAACGATCATTTCATTTCCTGTTTCCCTGATTCCAGGTAGAAAAATAGTTTTATCACTTTTCAAATGAACGATATGATAAATTAAATCTTTTCTCATCTTCGAAAGTGAATTGTTTTCATTCAAAATTCTGAATTCATCTTTTTGTCTCTAGTAGTTTATCTCTATTAATAGTAAATTGCTCAATTAAACATCAATGTGATTGAATAAAAGTTTTAATTTAGTCGTGAAAGATGAAACGGATTAACTATGGTGGTTGAATGAGAGTGGATTTAGATGGAGGGGAAATGTGACAAGAAAAAAAGAAACTACTGTTGGAGATTATCTTGAGATGAAGATGACAAAATATCATTGGATATGTTGGATGATATGAAGATCTGTCAATGATTAAAGATTTGAAAGGTTTTTGTTTGCATTTTTGTGACCCATCAATGGCAATGATGATGATGATGATGAGTGGATGAGGGTGGGAGATATGAGATGATTGTTGAAAACAATAAAAGACAATATTTAGATCCTAATACATGTAGTAACATGATGATGATGATGATCAGTGTTTACTATCAACTGGAAGATGATAGTAAAAGACAAACTGTCTAACTGTTAATATGATGATGGTGATAAGGATAAAGTAACAAATAATAAGACAAGAAATACTTTGGAAATCAAATTGATGTTTACAGTTTTCTAGACCAAATAAAACAACAATGATAACATACTCATCATCACCATGATGATGATGATGATGTTGATGATACATAAAAATGAGAAATGATGAATAGAATGAGTTTACTCAATGATAACTACATGTATTTTCTCAAAAGTTGATCATTTTAAAACAAGGAAAAGGAGTAATGATCAGGATAATGTTTATTTCATTTTCTACTGAACTTTTTCTCAAATTCTGTAACAGCAAATAAAGAAAGTTTCATGAGGAGAGAGAGAAAGGAAGATGAGAATCAATAAAGAAACAAACCATATTCATTCCAAGGAGATTCTTCAAAATTATCATTCGAAGATGCTGTTGTTGTTGGTTCCACTGATGATGATGACGAAGATGATGGTGATGAAGATGATGATGATGATATTGGTGGTGGTGATGTAGTTGTCTCTGATATACCAACCTCATCACCCGCAAGTATATTGTTTATTATTGAAGTTGAAGTTATCCCTTGGTCCAAAGATGAAGACGATAAAGATAATGATAACTTTTGTCCTCCATGAATACCACAGGGTAAAAGTAATAACAGAATTACAATCAAATCAATTCTGATTGAAGTCCATTGAGGCAAATCTTTTTGAGATGACATTTTAAAAGATACAATTTGTTGTCTTTTTGTTTTTATTTGTTCACTGGATTTAGGGTTTGATTTTAAACTGAAAATAATAATAATGTAAGAAGAAAAAAATAGAAATCAAATCAAAAAGTCAATGGATAACAATCAAACTTGATGATGATGACGATGTAATCACTATGATAGTTGAAACAATAATATTACATAACAATAAAATGAAATAAAACTAATCACCATCATCATGAGATTGGAAATCTTTTTTTTTCCTTCAGAATTTCAGTTGGAACTTTTTTTTTCGCCTCAACTTTTGATTCAATTTCTGAGAGGAACTAAAAGTGTATAAAGAACCGGATCAATTCAATTAGTTTTCCACTCTCACTCTCATTTTGATTCTGTGGTTTGATAGTAAAGAAACTTTTCTGGTTTTTTTTATTCTATTTGTTCATTTGCCATGTAACATGGAAATCATGTCGATAATTTGACCGGTCAACTGGCTAACTGGATGGACAGGTAAATAGAGAGAGAGAGAGAAGGAGAGAGGGAGAGATGGTAACTGTCAACGAACTTTAAAGTTTCCGGTGATGAAAATTTTACTTCATTCCAAATAATCTCCATGATCTTTCAGATTAATTACATGATACCTGATGAGTAACAGTCTCACCTGAGACTTTCCCAATTCATAAACTGTCTCAATATGTTATGATTAGATAATTATTATGATCATCATCCTGTGAATAGTTAATCTGGTAGTTTCTCATGGCGATTTATATCAAACGTATCATGGGAAGATTATTGTATATGTTAAGTTTCTGTGGATACAAAGAAAAAAAAATAACATTCGAACTGAAAGTTAAAGTCGATTTTGTCCTTAGAAAAAAAATCGACGATTCTTATCTGATCCCTATGATCACAGTTCCAACAACTTCCTGGATAAAATATAATAGCTGAATAGTAAAAGGTTGGAATACAATGTGAGATAATCATGAACTCATTTTCCACCATAAATTCAACCATGGAATTACATCCAACATATGAACAAAGTTCTGAAGAAGAAAAAAAAGTTGAAGATAATGTAGTGAATTTATAGGTTATTTTACAGTTACTATTATCTTGCCAATGGATGAAAATGAAGATAAAGATGATGATGGAAAATTTTAAGTCAACGAAGCTGAAATGATATAAAAGTAAGAAGTAAAAACGATTGATTGGAAACATGGAAGTAGAAATGATGAGGAAGATGATACACAGAGAAAAGGAGAAAATATTGTTATCCAATCAAGCGAATCATTTCCTCTAAATGTCCTTTTTTCTCCCTCATCATCCTTTCATCTCTCACACTCCCACCGTCACTATCGATATACTAAAATCTCCCACCTTCCACCTTCCACCTTCCAAGCAGAGAAGATGTAACAATAATCATCTATGAATCTTAATTCTAATACTGGTAAACTTTGGATTCCATTTCTCTGTTGAACTTGTAAAGGTAACTACTAATTCTTGACCCATTCAGATTACCAACAACGAGAAAGAAATCAAACAATCAACTAATTGTTGTTAACTCTGTTTTCCTTGTTCTTTTTATTGATATGATACAATTTACTTTTGATTGTAACTGATTGTCATTCCATCTTGATTTATGTAAACATTAATATCAATGAGGTATAAACGTCTAAATGTTTTTCCTTTTCCACCTCTTCCACCCTGTAAATAGTAATAAATTGGTCCAATATATTCAATAGCAAGTTGACAATTTGGTGACAATTTAATCCGATTGGTCTTTTAATATTTTTCCCTGCCAATGATAAATATATATTGTAACAGAATTGCAATTACATTTTTTTTTTCATCCTCATATTATTACACTTTTGATTGTTGATTGTTGTTAGTTGCACAATTTAACTTTCATTTTGATTATTATCCAAAAATGGGAAACAAATAAATAACATGAAATACAAAACTGACCAAAGGGAATCGATTATTATTGAATTTGTTTACTTGTAATATTTTGATTGGGTGGTTTTTTTTTCATTCAACTCCCCGGAGGGTATTTCATATATTATAATACATGTTATCTATTAGGAAAACATTGCCGATCTAATTTCAATGTGTGTAGATATGAATTTCTGATATTAGATTACCGTTATTTACATGATGAGCTTTTGATTGTGTATTAAATTAATCTAAAACCTGGTGAACCTTAATCATGTTACAAATGATTAGGAGAAAGAGAGTAAAATCTTTGGTGTAAAAATATAATAATAACAAATATTAACTGTTTGTGTTAACTAATGGATAATGATGAGGATGCTGATGATGGTGATGATGATAAGGGAAAAAAAGTTCTTTACCTAGGAAATGAAAAGTTTATTAAATTTCATGGGAATCCAATATAACCATTACCTTGATCTCAGCATGAATTGAATCATAGAGTAACTTGGACCATGTTTTTCATCCTCATCACCACGATTGATGATCTTAGAGGTGGTGGAATCAATGTTGAAGATGGTGAGGGTGGTTAAACCAGTGAATAATCAAGTAAAAGACCGCAGACCTTTTTCCTCCCTTCATCAGTGGTGTGTAATACATTCATCTCTCTCTCTTGCAATCTGAAAACCCACCGAGGAAAAATTGTAGCAAAATAATAACCCAATCAGGTTATATGAACATAACATGATAAATTATCTTGTATGTAAACACAATCGATATTGATGATGATGATGATTAGAGAGAAAGATAAAGATAAAGAAGATGAGGAAGATAAATGAAGATTATACATGTTACGTTTATTGAGAATGAAAGTGAAAAAAAGAACATGAAAAAAGACATTTCTTCCTCTTTCACCTTCATCCGGAATTCATCAAGCCGTCTGAACTTTTATCGATGAGAAATTATCACAACTACCTGAATGTTTATTCTGATTATTCAATCGTTTGCTTTCACCGTTATAACAAAAGTATTATTATCAACTTATCGATGCAATTACATAATGAGAGTAATAGTTTACTTTGTGAGTATTTGCTTTCATGAATGGGGAATCAAAACTCATAACTCCCATGGAAATTAACGAAACAATTAACCGAAAATGTTTCCATTGTTAACTAATGAGCAATTAATAGACTTGAAATGAAAATAATTCATCTTAATTGTTGAGAGACTAAACTTTTGTTTTCAGTAAGTGTAAAAATAGCATTTAGATGAGTGTGTATGTCACTTGAGTATCTTCATCATCAAATTGTATCAAGTTTTTTTTTGTTTCTTCCTCTATTATTATATTTATGAAATCACTTGGTAACCATTGGATTACATTGATTGTTATCTTCATGAAGATTTCGCCTCAGGGTGGATGAAAACAAAAGAAAAAGAGTATAACTGGAAAATCTGATGATGAAATATACACACAAAACCTCATTGAGTTTAAGCTTGATTCATGTAAAAGTTATCATGTCCACCGGTGGGATTCATGTAAGAGCCAATCCCTTACCTCCTCTCCCGATTGACCATATCACTTTAACCTTACCTACTGGTCAGTCATCAGATTATTTAACATCATTTAGACTTTACTGGTCATTCTAATTCTCTCTCTCTCTATCTCTTTCTCTCTGAATAATATTAATAATCTCATGATGTCAATTTAAGTAACAATCGTAATCGTATTACAATCATTATATATTTTTTTTTCTTGTGTTACAGATTATTGATTGGCCATTGTAACATTATAATATCTTCATGGTATTCAGAATATAATCTGAGTTTTATATTTAGAAAAGTTGATTGGTTCAAAATGAGAAGGGAAAAAAGAAAAGGATTTAACTTGAATTGAATTGTCATCAAATTTGATTGCAATTTGATTTAATTCCTGGAGGAAAACCTTAAAATCTTGTTTACATCTTTATCTGATCATAATTTTTCATGGGTATTAAGATGATCATCTTTCCCATGGTAATTTAATCAATTGATAACAATTTAGATAATGATAATAAACTTACTTTCACATTTTCAATTGACTTAAATCTTGATGATCATCATTAAACTCTGGTAACAAGTTTAATCTTTCAAATGTTATGATTTAATTTAATCCACAAAAAATTCAATCAATTGGATTTTCATTGAGGATAAACAATCAATTTCAATTGAAATGTTTATCAATTACAATTATCATTCAGATTGATTAATGAATCAGTTAAGTTTTTTACTTTTCTTTTTTGATTACTTCTTATAATCAAAAGGTTAATCATTTAATTAACTTGATTTCTCTGGTCTATTCAATTGTAAAGTTTTTTCATCAAGTTTCATGGTGGAAACTGTAAAGTTGATCATCATCAGTAACCAGGAATTAAGATTAACTATCGGATTTACAATATAATCAGATTAAGATGGTTAATATTATCATAGTAGGAGAAGCAAAAAGTAAACATTGATCAGTTAATCCAATGGTTGAAAGTCAAACTTTTCATCTTTATGATGATAAAATAAGGAAGCTGATTATGTTTATCTTTTCATCATCTTCATCATTATGTTTATCTTCATTTTTCATCTTACACCCAGTGAAAAAAAATCCCTCGGATTAACATGATGATCCGATCAACAACAAAAACATTATTATTATTACTGTTCATCGGCCTTAACTGACCAATAGGTTGGTCAGGGAAAATAATCAACTATTGGTTAATCAATCACAATTAATTAGTTAACAGGCACATGAATGAATTGATTTAAATTTATTACATGTAACCAACAACAATCGGGATGATGATTGTTTATTTGCCAAGTCCATCAATCAAGTTAGTCTTTGATTGACCAATCTAGAAATCAGTTGACCAGCATCTCAACAATTATCTTGATTGATTTGATTTTTTTTAAAAAAAACAATGAAATCAATTGATTTTCAAGTTGATATACTTGTCTTTAGAGAGGGTCAATCTTTCCAGTGGTCATTTTGTAATTGAAAACAAACTGACCACTCTGAATGTCTAACCAGACGGTTAGATTGATTTGAGATAATCTAAATTACTAATCACTCTGCCTTAAGGGAATTTAATTGTTTGAAAAGTTGAATGATAGTAAACAATTTGTGCTACTTAATCGAGGAGAGATATTTATTAAATGATGATCAAGATGAAGAAGGAGAAGGAGAAGAAGATGATTAAATCATCTGTGAATCGATTAACAATTAATACAATCGGAAAGTTGGATCGATGAAGAGGATAATAATAAGGGATGAAGATGAAAAGGAAGATCATTGGAGTCTCGAAACGGAAGGAAACTAAATGATGAAAATAAAGAGAGAATTGAGAATGGAAGAGAATAGATTTTCCAATGATTATCATCTTTATCCTCATCCTTAAACCAAATCGTCAACAATAATATTAATCTGTTCACAAACAACAATCTAATCAATCGTTGAT